AAGAAGGAAATATTTTCACAGATTGACCATTTAAGTAAGACATTATGCCTTGATTCCAGGTAAAAGTACATGATCATTCTTCATAAACAGAATTCTAACATCAAAACCCAGTAGAAACTGTCGAATGCTAGGGTTTACAGAAAGTACTAGGAGGACTTCATAACAACCTATAAACATCAACTATAAATGGCCAAGCAACATGGACAATGCCAGAATAGGGCTTGTAAAAGTCTCTAGTATATTTAAATTGTATACTGCAGAAACTAAATGTGACAATATAAAAGGCTTTGCTTTGAGTCTTTTACTACTTGGATATCAAAGTTGAAAATGTTTGCCAAGTTCATCTCAATTTATTAAGGATTTAAGTTCTAGTCATTCAGACAAGGAACTATACGGACATTTACCTTTCCTCTCATCTATGAAAAAGGGTACCAGGTACAAATGAAAATATAAAGTAGAATTCAGGAAAGGATTAAAGTGCTTAGGAAAAGTAAGTCCCAACACTTCTGAAGTATCATTTTTATACAGTTGATGGACTCATTGTAAATTATACTCCCATAATGACTACTGGTAGGCAATACTTAGTCACCTTATGTAACTGAAATAATAAATTGGTTTTAAAAAATCTTCTAAAGCTCCTTGAGAATAGGGACTGTTTCCTTCTTGGCGTCCATATGCCACATACAGTGCCTGGTACCCAGGAGGCACTGCAAATACAAAGAATGAAACAATCTCTACTTGCAAGGCCCTTATTTTCTAATGGGGGACAAAACAAGCACACCTAAAGTACATACAGCATAAATATGAAATGAACACAAATATATACAAAGTTATTAAAGACAAGGTAGTTTGGAACTACCAGTACTAAGGGGTGTAGGGAATGACGAAAGACTATGCTGAAGGTAGTGCCTGAGCTGCGTCTCAAAGGAAGAGAGACACCGTATGAGATACGGGTAAGGAAGAAGTGCGTTCCAGGCGAGGGAAATGGCTGGTGAGAAGGCACTGAGAGGAGAAACAAGAAGGTACTGAGAGGGGCGGCCTCTCTAAGAAAAAGAAAGGCCATTTTGACTGGGTGACAGAGTGTAGGAAGCGGACTAATGTTCATTGAGGCTGAAAAACTAGGTCAGAGACAGGTTGTGTGAAACTTTAAAGGCTAAAAAGGAATTTGTATTTTATCTTAGAAGCAAAGATACCTGCCTGTATTAGGCAGATTTTACTGACTTCCATTTCATCTGAGTTAATAACATACTTTCCTCCATTCCTCTGATTTCATGTTTTCCCTCCCTGACTTTATGAGGAGAAGAATAAAGATGGTAAGCTGCTTTGGGGCTGAGGGAAAGAAGTCATCAGCAATTAATCATGTAGGCCCAAGTGGTGCTCCAGCTGCTCCTCCATGCGCCACCAACTCCACTTTACCCTTGCGTAACTGGTTATGGAGAGTTAGGTCCAGGACCTTTCTCAATTTCTTAAGTCAGAGAGACTCTGCCAATTCACACAGCTCTTAGACTCTAGCCTCTATTGCCACTATTCTACTCTCCCCCAAACATGTCACCCTGTCAGGAAATCAGCTTCCATCTGTGCTCAAGTATGTTGTGTGAAGCATTCTAGATCTTTCAGAAAAGCTTATGAAAAACTTTCTTCTTAGAGGCAGATGACAAAAGCTGCTTAAGTCACTACCAGGGCACTGCTAAAGGAAATACTACTCTATGTTACTATATGTAAAATCATTTAAATCAGCTTGGAGATAAAAAGCTGCTTAAGTCACTACCAGGGCATTGCTAAAGGAAATACTACTCTATGTTACTATACGTAAAATCGTTTAAATCAGCTTGGAGATAAAAAGCTGCAGGCAGGAGAGCTGTATGACTCTTCATTCCTTCATTCACCCATTCATTCATTCCTTCAATAAAGACTTACTGAGTGACTAATCTTTATGAAGCGATCATTTCGTTAAGACTAAGTGGAGCTTTTCTTTATTCTGCTTGGAGAGACCCTAGTCATCTTGATGTAAGAGTGGGAGGTGGGCCTTACACAGTGTTCCCTCCTTTCCCTGCTTCTTTTAGGAAGGGAAGGGAAAAGCTGCTCAGAGAAAAGAGCTGGAAGTAGCTTTTATAACAGCACAGTCCCAGGAATAGTTCTCTAAGCTAAAGTACCCATACGTTTTCTTTCGAGTTCATCATTTACAGCCTTTCTAAATTTCTTACTAATAACATCAGCAAAAAATCCAAAAAGGACACAGCAATGAAGCTGAGATTTTTTTAAAAAGTAAAAAATGTTATATTACTATTTTACTTCTCACTCAAAACAATGAGTAATAAATATCTAGATTCTACTGATAAATTGGCCTGTAAATTTTCTAAAAGTAAATCAACACTACAAAAAACAACTACTAAGGAACAGTTAGAACCAAATGTGGAACAACTGACTGGTTTAAGATTGGAAAAGTAGTACGAGGCTGCAGATTGTCTCTTTATTTCTTTAACTTATATATGCAGATTACCTGCATATGTGTAAAATGCCAAGTTGGATGAATCAAAGGCTAGACTCAAGGTTGCCGAGAGAGAAATATCAACAGTTGCAGATATGCAGATGAGACCACTCTGATGTCAGAAAGTGAAGAAGAATTAAGAAGGGTGAAAGAGTAGAGTGTAAAAACTGGCTTGAAGCTTAACATAAAAAAAAACCCTAAGATTTTGGCAATTGGTCTCATCACTTCTTGGCAAACAGAGGGAGAAGCGGTGGAAGCAGCGTCAGATTTTATATTCTTAGGCTCCAAGATCACTGCAGATGGCGACTGCAGTCACGAAATTAAAAAGCGCTTGCTCCTTGGAAGGAAAGCAAATCTGGACAGCAGACTAAAAAGCAGAGACATCACCTTGTCGACAAAGGTCTGTCTAGTCAAAGGTATGGTTTTTCCAGAAGCAATGTGTGACTGTGAGAGGTGGGCTATAAGGAAAGCTGAGCACCACAGAATCAACACTTTCCAACTGTGGTGCTGGAGAAGACTTTCGAAAGTCCCTTGGACAGCAAGGAGATTAAATCAGTCAATACTTATAATTGAGGTTACTCACTGGAAAGTCAAATACTGAAGCTGAAGTTTAAATACTTTGGCTATATAATGAGAAGACAGGACTCTTTGGAAAAGCTTCTGATGTTGAGAAAGACTGAAGGCAAAAGGAAGAGGGGAAAGCAGAGGATGACATGGATAGATAGTGTCGTAGAAGCAACGAACAGGAGCTTGGACAGACTTCCAGAGATAGTAGAGGATAAAAGGGCCTGGGGCGGTATGGTCCATGGAGTCACGAGGAGTCAGACATGACCGGACAACTCAACAACAACAATCAAGACTATTAGAAGGAGCTATGGTGTGAGAAAATACCAATCCTATTTCAAAATGAGCTTCCCCCCTCCAAGTTGATTGGCTTAGCTAGTACTGAAATGTTTACATTCCACGAACAGATATGATTTGGTAACAGGGGAACATGACCCAGAGCTATGGCAGGGCAAAGTCAACCCGGAATTAAAATGTAATTATTGATAATCCACACATGGTTAATTGAGTTATCAGCATTCGACACTGAAATACAGGTAGAGAAAGCATTAGATACTCTGTGAACCTCTAATCTGCTAATATCATTGAACAAATTTAGTTAGTATTTTGCAAACATTTGATTCTACAAACATTTATTTAGTACCTACTAGGTATAAGGCCCTGGTGATACAAAGACCAGCAAAACAGTCAAGGAGCTTATCTCTGACCAGAGGGCTTCCACTCCTATACTACTCCTATAATATGACAGTGTGATAATAGGGGGTTAGTGGTAATAAAGATTAGTAAAAGCTACATGTAGAAAGAAGACATGTGAGCTGGCTCTTGGAGGAAGTTAGATACAAAGAAGCACAGGTCAGGAGGGAGTACTTTCAAGAGACAAGGAACAAGTCTGTCCAAAGGCCCAGAAGTGACAGATGGGATGTCAAGTTTGGGGAACAGCCAGTAGGCTAGTTTGGCTTCAGTGTAGGTGGGAGCCAGATTTTGGAGGCCCTCAAGTTCCAGTGCGAGGCATTTATATTTTATCCTGGAGGCAAATGAAGAGCCACTGAAGACTTCAGAGCAGGGAAACGACAGGGAGACATCTGTGTTAGGAATATTAATTTGGCAGCCGAAGGAACTCTATATGATGAGGTGAGAGCCTAGAAGTAGAAAAGGGGGAGACTAGAAGTAGAAAGCCCAATCAGGAGGCTAAGAAAATAGTTCAGGTGAGGGGAGATGAGGACAGCATCAGAGGAGAGAAGGGGGAATGTCTAAGAGATGTTGCAGGCCTTGGCAACAGCTTGGATGTGGAGGGGTGAGAGATAACAAGACGTCCAGGATGACTCCTAGATTGTTAGCTTGAGGGAATAAGAACACTGTTGATTGTTAGCTTGAGAGAATGAGACGATACTTTTGCCTTCTGCAGTAATAGGGAAGGTAGGAGGTGGGGAGAGGGTTTAGGGGAAAGATAACAAGCTGTTTTGGACATGGTGAATTTAATTTATCTATTGGACATCTACTTTGAGTTGTCTGAAAGGCAACTGGAGATGGGACCTCGGAGGTCAACACAGAGCTTGGGGCAGGATAGGTAGATTTGAAAATGTCAGCATAAAGATGGTAATTAATTAAATCCCTGGGTGCTGATGAGATCACCAAGTGAAGTAGTGTAAACAAGAGGACAGGGCCTAGGGCAAAACCCTGAGGGACACCTATGGCTAGAGGTCGTTACCTGGTGGAAGAGCCATAAAAGGAGACTGAGAAGGAGAGGTCAGAGAGTTAAGAGGAGACCCAGGAGAGGTACAGGGACTGTTCTCACTTGTATTTGTATCCCCAATGCTCAGCACAGTGCTTTTACACACAAATAAGCACTTAATGAATGCTCGTTCTTTTATTCATTCATTTAAAATACTTCAGTAGTCCACAATACATTTGCAAGCCTTAAGAATGTTATAACAAAACATATTTACACCTTTGCTGCATCTGAAACAGTGTCCCAGTTGCCACCACTTAGAGAGAATTTTCCACTACCTATCCGTAACAGGATTTCTTCAGGAGTATCATTGGGACCATTAGCAAAAGGAGTATAGCTACAAAACAAACACAAAAAGAGCATACATTTTAGGAGCGAATAAAAGATTATATAAATAATAAATCTAATAAAAAGATGAATAGAAGACTTCAGGAAAATATTCACTAAAGAGTGAAGGTTATCTTCCTAATACTCAATTTTGCTATTGCCCACATCTTTTTTTACATCACAATTAATGGAACACAACATTAGACCCGTTATCAAAATATTTTGCACATAGTTTTTGTTGTGGTGGTTGTTGTTGTTTGGTCATTTCAGTCGTGTCTGACTCTTCGTGACCCCACACGGGGTTTTCTTGGCAGAGATCCTGCAGTGGCTTGCCATTTCTTTCTCCTTACTAAATGTCTACTGTATTGTAAAGTTAACAAGAATATCTAACCTGTACCTACAGGGGCTTATGCATTTTGTGCTCATCAATCTAAGTTTTAGTGTAGAACTCCTAGCTTAAAACCAAACCAGAAGACAAAGCCAATGTTGCAATTTTTCCCCAAGAAATTATCACCAAACCACAAATTCCTAACCAGAATAAAGTTTATATTTTGCATATATTCAGTGATATGTAAGTTTTAATAAATGGATTCTCATTCAAGTAAAACATTTTAAAGATAATTTGTAAGATAATCACTATTTAAATATAGGGTTAAACTTTCAGAAATTGAAAAATAAGCTTTCTCAATTCAGTACCTTTTTGTTGACACCTTTCAGGGGACACACAGTAAGAGGTTGCATGCCTTAATTTGTAAACTATTTTCTATATATGAATTAAAGATATGATCAACATACCCAGAGGAATGAAAATTTGCATATAAATTTGACATCATCTGGTTTTTAAAAATCTCATAAACTGATACTTTCTTTCATTTTTTTGGAGACATAGAATGGATAGACAATCAGCCCTGAAGTCAGGAAGACCTGGATTTGAGGTCCACCTCTGACTCATTCTGGATGTGTGACCCTGAGCAGGTCACTTAACCCTTTCAGTGCCTCAGGCAACTCTCTAAGGCAGTAAATTGCAGAGAAGAGGCTTATCTGCATTGGTAGAGGAAGTTTCCTCAAAGTAGTTTGCTACACCAATGAAAACCCTGGTCTTTTTAACCTTCCCTCCTCCTCCCCCCCCAGCCACACAATTCTCTGGAAGTTACCTTTCACAGGGAAAAGGAACAACAAATTGGTATATCAATATCAGAGCAAATGGTAATGCACCCACTGTTTGGGTTTGACAAAGCTGATTTATGTTAAAAAAAAAAAAGTGGGGAGAGTAAATTTTCTATAATTAGTGTTAAAAGATTTAATTAACCGATGTTCCATCTAATATTGGTCAACTATGGACAAAAATAAATTTAAGCCTAGAATTTTTTTCCCCAACCATGGAGTAGATAATATGTTTGATTTGAATCTAACAAGCTAGAAATAGTATTCTTGGGATAGAAAACTTCAATGCTGATCACTCATTCTGAATAGTTTGTTTTGGCATGCCAAGTCTGATATGTACCCTTTCACTAATGCAACTACTAAATTGATTGATAAAGTACTTTACTGAAGTTTGTATAATGATTTTTATGCAAATATACAATGATTTTCATAATGACTTTTAAATACAAGTTCATGACAAACTCTCTAGATAATTATAAAACATTTTAAAGCCATACTTTTTATATGAAAGAAGTGCTTATGGCACATCTACTACAGCTCCAGCGTTATATTCCAATTGTTCTAAATATACTTTTTAAAACAAGTCACATTTCAATATCTCACTATGCTATTCACCTGTCTTCATACATTATAAGCCTCATGAGTTCCTCTATTAGATTCTGAACTCCTCCAGGGCAGGGACTGTCTTTTGCCTTTCCTTGTATCCGGTGCTTCATAAATGCTTACTGACTGACTAAATTAGTGGTTATTTCCCCACTAAGGTTTCTCAGAACAAACTTGACAGCAAGAAACATTGTTTTCACTTCTAAACAAACCTACCCAAAAGCAGACTTGCTGTTAACGGTCACAAGATATCTGGGTTATCAGGTGCATATTGCCAATGTTAACATCAGCAATTGCTATCACACTTCAAATATTTCAGGCATTTTATTAAGGCCTTTCAAGGCAGGCACAGGTCTCAATTTAAACTGAAAGAAGTTATTTGCTGATCTTATCAAGTATTCCTTCTGTATTATTAAGAATCATATTTCATTGCTAGCCCTTAACTATGACTCAGTAGTAATAAACCAGGTAACTTCTTGCTTATACATACCACTTATTTTCTTATCAAATATTACTTTTACAAAGTTTTAAAAACAGACTATTATATCAAATTAATATTAGGCCTAACAAGAATTCCAATTTGAAAACATTCTTGTGTTCAAAGGAACACATTTTTGGCTTGATCGAAGTATCATTAAATGACTATCAATGGACAAGTTACTTCAGTATAGCTATCTAATCAATAAGGTCTATTAGGATACAGTACTCATATCAATTTTGAAAGAGAAAGTGCAGAATCTTTGACAAATGAAAACTGTCCTTTTCTTTAGGATTATTTTCATCTCCCACAAAAATAGTGAGTGAAATCTGAATGTTTCTTACCCAGCCAGCATTGTGTAAAACAGGACACCCAAACTCCAAATATCACAGGCAGCATCATAACCTTGCCTCATGAGAACCTAAGAAACACAAATTAGAGGTACAGAGAAACAACATTAGAAGTATTAGCTGTGGATTAAATATTCAATACATCTGAGCAGCTTTTCTACCCCAAATCAAGTTGAATGAAGTGACTTCCTGAACCAGAATCTGAAAGTTATTAGTGATGTAGAAGAGCCTGCAGAGGAAGCAGAGAAAGGCTGCTTGGTTAGACATGAGGAGGCCTGGGCTCTGCTGACAGCTGGTTAACCTCATCTTCTATGACTTTTAGTTTTCTCATCGGTTAAATGGTCTCTAGTACCTTCTAGATGGAAAACTCTGTGATCACAATCACTAAAAACTTGAAATCTTTTCAATTCTGAGCAAATATTCACCGAATATTGTTTCAGCACTTGTGCGTGTGCATGTGTGTGTTTGTGTGTGTGCACACAAGGGAACAGTACTTTCTTAAGAGCTGGGGGGGAACAGTTGCAAAACCAAAAAAAAATAAAAAAGAGGTATAAGACACAGCCCTGTCTGAGAGAGCTAAGATATACCTACTTATGAAAGATTAAACAATACAAGGAGCCAAATAACAACAGAAGGCAATACAAGAAATGTCATAAGACAGTATATGATCAGTATGAAGGCACGAGGAATCTAGTTTATGTTTCTCAACGATTTCTTGAAAAAAAAAAGTCTATTTAGGTCACAAATATATAGTGGATTAATTGTGAATGTCTTAGATAATCTGTCACAATTTTTTGAAATTGGGGACAATACTAATTCAATCAAACAATAACCAAACAGCATATTCAGTTGAAAGTTTCCTATGAAATAAACATAAGTTTAAAAGTGTGTGGAAAAAAAATACCAAGGAAATGAAATAGTCATATTCTTTTCACTTAGAAAAATTAGTCCACTGCGAAAGCCTCCAGGCATATGGACAAAATAGAAACATTATTAATGCATTAACACAGAATTGCATAACAGCATAAAGTTTTCATAAAAAGACTAAAAAAATCATATTTGGCTTTGACAGTTGCCAGACATGAGTAAGTATATAACTAACAAGTAATCCAAAATTCAAGTTTTTTTTCAGCCACAGAATTAAAAAACAAAAAGCAAAACTGAGTAGCTGAAGAGGCTTTCAACTTGTGTAATCAACTCCCACAAATAATATAAATAGGGATCCCAGATCCAGATAATGAGGCACTGCTAAATACCCGTCCTATCAGTTGTAGCAGATCTCACTCTCTCACTTATTTGAAGAAAGAAATTAAGAATGATCTAGATTGAGGAGCATGGAGCACAGTGCAGTCATATTAGGACTGTCAAAAGGATAGAAGAGGATCTGTTCTATGATAGAGGCAATGGAGAAATATGAGTAATAATAAAAGCTCCCATTTATTTAAGGTTTGCCAAGTACTTCAACATACATTACCTCATTTGATCCTTACAACAACGACCCTGTGAAACAAGGATCATTATTAATCCCACTTTATAGATGAGGACACTGAGGTTCAAAGAGGTTTAATGACCGACCTGTCTGGCTGTAAAGGGTCTCAGGTGGGAGATGAATGCAAGACTTCCTCCTCCAAGTACAGAACTCTATCCCCTATGCCAGACTTTCCAGTCAATTTCTTTCCTTGACATTGCATTTTAAAGTTTACAAAGTGCTTTCTTCACAACAACCTGGTGAACCAGGTGGTGAATTCTTACTCCTATTTTGTAGCTGAAGGGCACAGATAGGTAAAATGATTGGCTCAGAAGTGAACCTCAGCCTCCAGGTGCCACATTGTGTTTCTTCACCTCCAAGATGTATTCCCTTGATCCTTTCCTAGCTTGCTAGACAGGAAGAAGGAAATCAGCAAGACACCAGTGGGTTATGTCACCCCTAGCACTTCCTCCACCCTGCTCACTTACAGAAGGGAGGCTTATATTATCTCTTCATTAGGGGAAAGAATTTCAAACCTTGTTGTACATTAAGAAAGAAGGGGTATGGGATTCAGCTCAACAAATATTTATAGAGTGCCTCTTGGACAACGTGGTGCAAGGAAGGAGCTTTGGAAGCGCCACCCGCTGCTCTGTCCGTGCTCACATTCACCTGGTAACAAGCTAAATGGACAAAGTGAGAAATTGAGAATAGTGGAGCCAGGCTCTAGTAGCATTGCTGCTGCTCCTGCTCTGCTCTAGCACCACCCATGCCAGCTGACCCCTACACAGTAGGCACAGGGAAAGCTTCAGGACACGGCCAGGTGGAGTGAAGAATAGTTGGGGCTGAATTCTAGGTAACCCACAGTTGATGTATGTGGATCTACTTAATTATCTACCTGGCTACCTCTTCTCTTACTCTCCTTCCTAAGACATAAGAGGAAATTAAGACAGTCATTCATACATGAAAATCTTTATGTGGGAGGTAAAATCCCTTTGTGACAGAGCTCTAACTTCTGAATTTACTCATTTATTTATTTGTTTGTTTTTTTGTTTATTTATTTATTTTTAAGGCAACTGGGGTTAAGTGATTTGCCCAGGGTCACACAGCTAGTGAGTGTCAAGTGTTTGGTCTGAGGCCGCATTTGAACTCAGGTCCTCCTGACTTCAGGGCCAGTGCTCTATCCACTGCGCCACCTAGCTGCCCCGAATTTATTTTTTTAAACCAAAAACTAGCCTCGGAGCCTGAACACCTGGGTTCTAGTCCCAATTCTGCCACTGTAAGACTTTGAGAGCAAGTCATTTTACCTTTCAGGTACTCAGTTTTCTGTGATTCTAGAAAAATGAAGAACTTATAGTATGGTCCAGATCCAGTTGGTTTAGAAGACTGAAGATTTATACTAGAAGATAACACTATCTTCTTAGGTTGCTAAGATAAGATAAAAACAATTCTTATTGATAACATGGGGGCAGCTAAGTGGTACAGTGGATAGAGCACTGGCCCTGGAGTTAAGAGGACCTGAGTTCAAATCTCACCTCAGACATATAACACTCACTAGCTATGTGACTCTGGGGAAAAAAAAAAAGTTTCTTAATTCCTATTTACTATTTGGGGCAGCTAGGTTGCTCAGCGGATAGAGCACTTGCCCTGCAGTCAGGAGGACCTGAGTTCAAATGTGGTTTCAAATCAGACACTTGACACTTAGTAGCTGAGTGACCCTGGGCAAGTCATTTAACCCCAATTGCCTCGCAAAAAATAAATAAATAAATAAATAAAAATAAATTGATCACATCTAATATGTTCAATTCATAGAAAAGAACACAAAGCAGAAACTAAACAAAATGCATCCCAACACCTCACACAATTTTACACGTGGCAAATGCAGAATTATAAAATGATATATGATTTGAAGGCTACCTCAGGTGCTACAAAGTTGGCAGTATAGCATGGAGTTAAGAGAAGTCCATTTTCTCCTCGAAGTTGTTTAGCAAACCCAAAATCACAGATTCTAATAGAATCAGCATTAGTTGAGTCGTCCATATATAAAATATTACTAGGCTTAAGGTCTCGATGAACCACCTTGAAAATAAAATGAAAGACATTTTAAATGTTGGCTCCTAACAAAGACATACAAAACAAAAATTCATGCTTAAGTGCTTTGAAAATTTAGAATTTCCCCATTTACAAGATTTTTGAGTTTCTTTTAGCAATGTGACTCTTTCACTGGGAAGTCTCAAAACTGGATTATCCATAAGGTAGTTACCTACCACGATTTACCAAGGGCCCTAAACTCTCTGCATACTATGCTTACACACATCAAGTACTGGCCTCCTCTGGCTATCTCTGTTCTTAGAGAATGAAATCTCATCCTCTGCCATCTTTGTTTGGGGCACTGCTGACCATTCTAGTATGTCAACCCACACCTTAAATCACAATTTAGGTGATGGCTTATGGAATGAAAATGTTTGAAAGCCATTTCTTTAGAGATAGGTGATGTTTTAAAAGAGTAAAAACTATTCAACTCTATTGTGTGTGTGTGTAGTTTATGAAAAAAATCCTAGTTTGACATCTAATATAGATTTTTTTTTTTAAATCATACAAGAGAAGGCAGGATTTCTGCTCAGAAGAATCAACTCTAGGTTACTCACAAGTGAATTATTCATTGCAACCCAGAAATTCTTGTCTACTATCAAATCAACATAATCCTGGACTCAGGAGGAAGCAAGGCTTGGCAATGGAAAGGATGACTATTTCTGTAGGTATGGTTCTTCTGATTCTATTTCTAAGTCAGGTTTTTTAAAAATTAGCCATGTGTATCAGAGAATTTTAGAGCTGGAAGGGGCCATGGAAGTCTTCTGGTTCAATCCTCTCATGTTATAGATGAGGAAATAAAGAGAGAGTTTCAGTGTTACACAGCAAATTGGTGGTAAAACGAAGACCAGAACTCAGGTCTCCTGATTCCTAATCCAAATGCCTTCCACCACAGAATGTTACTGCTGTTCAGTATAATTTCCCACATGACTTTCTTACATCAGGATGTATTAATCAATCAAACTTTGTACAATTTAAAGCATTTAATCATCTGTCTTCCTTGTACAAACTAAGCCATGATTTCTTCTTAATTTATTTCAGGATGTTCCCTATATAACTACTCCTTTCTTGATGTCAGACTTTTAATAAAATCCTTCACAAACCAAATTCCTTTAACTGACTGCATAATGGGAGGATAGGGACACGCTTCCAACCTCCCGCTGTCATTACTACAGACACCAGGAGGAGAGATGTGTAGAGAATGAAATAATACAGTCACCCGACCAACGAGCGATGTGACTTCAGCCCCAATATTACTACATAAGATGGAAATGTGTCACATATGCTCTCACACAATTCTTTTATGTTTCACTGTTTAATTCAGAAGAGATTTAGGAAGGAATTTAAATAATAATTAGGTAAAAGCATTATTTAACTGATTAAAAAGGAGTTAAATTAGGGCCCTCGGGCACAAAGCAGAGAATTAATAAGGCATATATGATTTCATTAATTCCTTAACCTTTCCAATATCATGAGCTCTATGAATACGATGCTCATAAAGTATCTAAGTGACATAAAATGTGATAGAAACTTGAAGTAATACTATATTCTATACAACTGAGGGAAAATACAAATTTCCTTCAGAACTGCATTCCATCAACCCTTCCTCCTCCAAAAAAAAAAAAAAAAAAACTGGAAAAAAACCCCACAAAACCCTGCTAAGGAAACAGCAGCACACAAGAGAAACCCACTGAAGTTGAAGTCAGAAAGCTCTGCTTTGCCATTTACTACCTGAACGATCTCAGGCAAGTCACCTAACATTGCTAAGCTTCAGTTACCTCACCTGTAAAATGAGGTGGAGGGGGCAGGAAATGGAACATGGGACTAAATCATCTCTCAAGTATCTTCCAGTTCTAAAATATTCTGATCCTATTTCCACTAAGTCGATCCAACCATATCACTCCCTGGGCTCAAAAAGCTTCCTGAGCTCTTCTTTATCTACCATATAAATAAAGTCCAAATTCTTCGGCCTGGCATTGAGGGCCCTTCCTAATCTGACCCAACCTGCTTTCCCTAGTCTCATCCCCTACCACTTTCCTCCATATCTTATTCTTCAGTTCAAATGGCCCACTTATCATGCTAAGGAACTTTCTGCCCTGGGTCATCTCTGTGCCTCATGCAGTCAGTCCCTTCCACTAGGAATGTCTTTCCTCTCATCTTCATCTCTGCTTGCTAAAGTGCCATTCTTCAATGCTACCTCTTTCATAAAGCTGGAGTGATGAATCTTTCTCTTTAGAGCACCTATACGTTGCTATTTGCACTTTTTCTTCCAGCACTTAGTAAATAGCATGTTGTAGAATATTTATAAACACGTTTTATCTTCCCTATGAGATAAGAAGCTCTTTGACAAGTAGAACTGTATCCTACTCAACTTTGTATCCAATTCAATAACTATTTAAGTGCCTACTATGCACCAGGCACTGTGCTAAGCACTACAGATACAAAAAAGGCAAAAGATAGTCTCTGCCTTCAAGTAGCTCACAGTCTAACGGGGGAGACAACATGCAAACAAACATACGCGAAGTAAGCCATATACAGGATAAATAGGAAATAATTAAAAGACAGAAAGTACTGGAATTAAGAGGGGTTACAGAAGGCCTCCTGTAAAAGATGGGATTTTAGTTGGGACTTAAGGGGAGCCAGGGAGGTCAGGAGTCGGAGTGGAAGAGGGAGAATGTGCCAGGCATGGAGAACAGCCAGAGAAAATACTCAGAGACAAGAAATGGAATGTCTCGTTTGTGGAATAGCCAGGAGATCAGTGTCACTGGCTGCAAAGTGCCTAGTACAGTCCCTTGCATATATGTGGTGCAATGAAACTCCTTTGTTCACTTGACCCAATAACGGCCAAGGAAATTTAGGAGAAGAATACATCCCCCAAAACGGGTATCTCCAGAAGTTATCCTTTCCTTTAGTAGCTCATTTGTTAATTATTGGTTCATGAGTTACCCAAGCCCTTGGTCAACCTATTTCTATTTCTATTTCAGCCTCTACCTTTGAAGGTAAAGAGCTACACATTTACAAATAACTCTCAGAAGTCATGATTCCTCTGGTATATTCTAAAATTACCTCCCCTTTCAAACGTCAAGATTTTTTTTATCTCTAGTATCTAAAAATCTGGTAAATAAATTTCTATACCATTTTACAGACATGAATTATATCTCTACTTAGCCTTCACCATTCTAGCCACAAGAGTCTTAATCTTTTTGGTCTCCCTTTCTGTGTAAGCTATTATAGCTCCTTTGAATATTTATTTCTGGATGTTTTGTCTCTTATGAAGCACAGAGAACATAATTATATACAGTATCCCAAATGGAAAATGATATTTGAATACATATACATTTCTCCTTTAAAACCTCCTTTAAAACCTTTAAAAACTCCAAATGGAGTATTTTAAAACAAGTTAAATCACATCAATAAGTAGTCTTTGATTGTTCATCTTATTAATGTGATTTAATTTGTTCTAAAATAGGTTAAAAATAAGACCATTAAGGAAACAGATGTTAAGACTTTAGGCATGAAATATGAATTGCATTTTTGTTTCTAACTTTACTGATGCACTAGATCAGGCCTCTGTGTCAGGAACTGTGCTAAGTATTGGGGATACAAGAAGAAACAGAAGATAGTCCCTTCGTTCAAGGAGCTCATAATCTAACGTGAGAGACAACAAATATGTACAAACAAGCTATATACAAGATAAACAGGAAATAATTAAAAGATAGAAAGGTACTAGAATTAAAAGGAGTTGGGAAGCTTCCTCTAGAAAATGGAATTTTAGTTGGAACTTTGAAACCAGGGAAGCCAGTAGGTGATGAAGAGGAAAAGCCCTCTAGGCATGGAGGACAGAGCTGAGAGATGGAATATCTTATTTCTGGCAAGTCACTGGACTGAAGTGTATGTGGTGACAAATAAGGTATAAGAAGATGGAAAAGTGTGTGTGTGTGTGTGTGTGTGTGTGTGTGTGTGTGTGTGTACGCTAGGTTATAAGGGTTTTGAACACCAAACAGAGAATTTTGTGTTTGATCCTGGAGGGGATATGGAGGCACTGGAGGTTTTTGAGTAGGGAGACAACATAGTAAACCTGAGCTTTCGGAAAAATCACTTTGGTGGCTGAATAAAAGATGAAGTCAGGTTGGAAGACAATTCAGGCAGGCAGATTTCCGCCCCCCCCCAACCTGGATATCCAGTTTAAGATGTGTGAAAGGCAGTCAGAGATGTGAGACTAGAGAGAGACTGGGGCAAGAGAGACAGATTTGAGAAACATCAGCATAGAGATGATAAGTAAATCCATAGTAGCTGATGAGATCACCAACTGAAGTAGTGTAGAGGGAGAAGAGAAGACGGCCCAGGACAGAGCTCTAATGGACACCTGTGGTTAAAGGGTGGGACCTGAATGAGAGTCTAGCAAAAGAAAATGAGGAATGGTAGGCAAAAGGAATATCTATCTCTAAATGTGCTAGAAGCAGAAATGGGCTAAATACAGAAGAGATGTAAGCTGGACATAAATAATTTATTGACACTTGACAGTGCAATGGTTACCAAGCAACTTCTAACATTGATTTTTTTGGGTAGCTAGGTGGCCCCGTGGATAGAGAGTACTGTGGCCTGAAGTCAGGAAGACCTGAGTTCAAACCAGGCCTCAGATGATTTACTAACTGTGTGACCCCAGACAAGTCATTTCACCTGTTTGCCTCACTTTTCTAATCTATAAAATGGGGGTAATAATAGCCCCTACTTATTCCAGTGAAAATCAAATGAGATAAAAACTGTAAAGTGCTCAGTACAAGTGCTTCACACATAGCGCTATATAAATGTTAGCTATCATTAGGCATCTGCCTGGGAAGGTTTTATGGTGGAGGATGACTGAGTTGATTTGCCAAAGTGTCCCTTCCATCCTCTTGAGTTTATACAAATACAACTGCCAAAATTGAATTGAATAAAATAACTTTGACTTACTCCTTGACAGTGAAGGTAGTCAACTGTTTTAGTTATTATATATAGTACATCACTAGCTTCCCGTTCTGAAAAATATTTTTGTCTGAGAATACGATCAAGTAGTTCTCCTCCCTTCATCAATTCAGTAACAAGGTAAACATATCTACCATCATCATACACCTGTTTAAAACAAAAAAAAGGTGACATATTTTTATACTTTTTATCATTAATTCCTTTAAATTAATTTTTTTCAATCAATGACAATCTGTTTCTTTCCCTTCTATTGAGAAACACAAAACTTTTGTTGCATTTATAGTCAAGCAAAACAAATTACAGCAAAGGCCACATCCACTAAAAATGTCTTAGTTCGCACCCTGAAGCCATCACCTTTCTGTCAGGAGGTTTCATCATGTTTCATCACGAGTCTTCTCGATCTGTAGAATTCTATCACATTCACATAGCATAACTTGGTCAGCCATTCTCCAATATTCTCCACTTAAAGATTCCTTGACCCTAGTTCCTAAAGACTACTCTCTAAACAAAAATGATTCACCAAAAGGTTTGTGAGCCCTATTTCGGGAAACTCAATACTAGTCTACACCAATGATGTGTAGCAACAGTTTGAACAGGGCAAAGATACTGATCAGGATTCAAACAACTGTGAACTGGCTTATTTCACTATAATCCTCAGATTTTTCCAAGAAGCTTGTACATGCTGTGTGCAAAAGTCAGGTCTATTTATATATGATCTACCATAAAATAATTCATTACGCATTCATCAGATTCACCAGATTGCTTAACATTCATCAGATTTTTAAAAAATTAATACCTACATCCTTTAAAGTGATAATGTTGGGGTGCTGTCCATAACGCATCAAAATCTCAATTTCTTCTGAAGGGTCTCTCTTACTTTTGTCAATGATCTGAGAAATATGATGGGGAGAAGCTCAGGTAAATTAAAAATTTTTTATTTTATCATAAAAGCATCAAAAGGTATCTTGAAAACTTTTCAAATTATAGGGATGTAGGCATATTTTGTATCCTAGAAATACCTCAAAAATAAGAGTAATCACACTATTTGTCTCCATTTGAACAAAAAATAAATTTTCCTTTTATCTTATCCCATTTCTTTTAAAAATAAGGGTATAACAGTACCCTTGATACAAACAGTAAATTAGAAGATATGTTTTGACACATAATTTCCTATTTACTTAAAACTACTTTAAATGCTGATCCAAACAATTATTGAGTAGTTGCCAGGATTACTTTTCTCATCACAATATATTACTTTTTGAAAGTACTACATGTTTTAAAAGCAAGAATGAAAAATATGAAATTCACTATTCTTCAAAAGAAATTTTTGGTAGAACCTATTCAGAAATGAGATGTAAACTCAGATTCCTCTCCTTTATTTTTTCTTCCCTCCCAACCACCCTGCCCCAGTGAGAACATAACTAAAGCAAATCATTCCAACTTAAAATACAGAAGAAAGAAATTTAGAGACAATACCTTCACTGCAAATTCCATGTTGGTAGCTGTGTGTATACATCGCTTGCAAACAGAATAGGAGCCGACACCAATATCCTCCTTTGGTTCATACACATCATTAAATTGTGCACTGTTTCCATGTAATTGCTTTGAAAAAATAAGGGGGAAAATTGATAATGCATTAAAAACCTATCTGTCCATCAAGGAGAATGGAAACTTGACCTCCCACAATTTTCTGTGTTTATTTCCTAACTCAGTGTTTAACAGAAACCTTAAAAATCATGCAAAAAACTGAGTTTGAGGAAAGCATATGTTCGCAATATAAACAACTTAAACAAATGATGAACCAAATTTAAATTACAGATACTCTAGATTCTTTAAACAAGACCAATCAACAAACTTATAAATCCCTAACTATGTTTCAAGGCCAAAAGTAAACAAATCACCACACTGCATGGGTCATATTGCCTTTTTTTTTTAAAATATTTTTTAATTTTTAAAGTCTGACCATTTCTTGCCATTTTCCTCAATGTAAAGTTGAAAAAATAAAATAAACCACTATTATAAATGGTATCTATAATATAGGCTGGCCATTGACATGCTTTAAAACTTAAACTCTTTTTTCTCCCAAGGAAATGACTAATCCTATAACTGGAAAAACAATTAGATATGATTTACCTGTACTATTGGCAATATATTTGTGAGGGGAGAAATTTTCTGATCTTCTATGGCAGTAGTTGCAACAAAGCTAAATCCTTTGAAAAGCTGATGCGCATTAGCACTGGGTGGAACTCCAGGAGAATCTAGTTTTCAAACACAAAAATTTCACAAAAAATTAAAAATTTTCACAGCACACAATTATACTCTTTTTGGCTGAAGGTAAATCTTGATAAAATATACAACTCTGCTATAAAAACAAAATGTATTCCATTAAAAAAATATAAGTCATAAATAATACCTTCTAGGTATTATTTCCTCTCTTTCAAACTCCCCCACCAAAACAACGAAAAGACTAAAGAAATTCTACAACAAGATTAAAAAATATATATTTACATTTCATGACCAGTCTTAGCCTTCTCCCCAACCCTTGCTCCTTTCTCTTCTAAATATCTCATATTTAAAGATTCCTCTTGACTCTAGTTCCTAAAGACTTCGGTCTAAAGTGATTCGCTAATAGGCTTCTGAGTCCTTTTTTGGGAAACACTATACTATCCCACAGCAATGATGGAGCAACGGTTTGAGCAAGGCAATCACTGGTCTGGTTCTAAACAACTGGGAATTAACTCCTACCACTGTAATCCTCTGATTCTTCCAAGAAGCTTGTACATGCTGTATACAAAACCCAGGCATGTGTACATATGATTTAACACGAAACAATCCATTAAACATAATTATTTCACAGTCAAACTTTGTATCCTTTTAACTTTTATCCGGGCAGTGAAAGACTGGTTTATTAATTAGTTTATTAACTAGACCTAACTTAATCCATATAAATGTGTATTACCTTTGGGTGTTTTTGCAGTAAATTCAGGATCAAAACAAAAAGTATCTTCTGGCTTTCCAGAAGCAGGTTTGAATGGGGGTTGAATTTCTCTTCTATATAATTTCTAAAAGAAGCAGTATAGGGTAATGCAAAAACTTATTAACATGGACAAATTATTCTATTTTTCAAGTTAAAGAAGCTAATAGTCATAGCTTAACCTTAACAAGTCACACAAAATGACAACATATTAAGAAGTACAAATGGAACACTGCAGGTTAGATTTACCAGATAAATTTCAATAGACTTCAAATATCTGCTAATAAAATAAGTTCATCAAACTTGGTAAATGATGTACTGAACTCAATGAGTAGGCCAAGGAACACAATGAGGATGGAGATGCTAAAGGCAGCATTTGCAAGAGATGAGAATATTCAATTTCAAATTTTATTAAAAACTGGTTTAACTCCCTAGTGATGACAACACATAACCATATGGTCATGCAGGAATAACTAACAAAATTCAAGGATTCTGAAATCAAAGGCTATCATACAAGTAGCATTTCTATAATATGAAATTCATTTATACTATGTGATGCCTGAAAACTTGAAACACACTTAAAATCTCAAATATTTTCTGGCAATTTTTGTGACCTAGCAAATATAAATGAGAACAGGCTGTTTTGTTTTTAGGTGAGGCACATTAAAGAAATCTCAAATTTAACCTTGTCCAACAGTACAACTGGATAAAGTTTATTTTTCAGTGAAAGACATAAAATAGCCTGAAGGCAGGGTAGGAAACATTTTTTTCTACTGAAGAACCACTGGCCTGTAGAACAAAATCATAGATCAGTTAAGTATAAAGCAACTTTTAGAGAGAAATAAACATCTTACTCATTTTCTTGGAAAATTAGAGAGTATATAAAGCTTTTAAATAAAAAAAAATAATACTTTCTGTTCTCTATTATAACTAGTTAAGGGAAAGAGGAAAGGGAAGGAGACAGAGAAATACAGACAGGAACAAAAATTGAAAGTGAAATTTTCACGGAATACCATTTATATCCTGCAGTCCTTTAAGATATTGTACTAAAGACTTTTAAACTATGTTACATTTTTTTTGCCTCTACAGGCATAAGTAGAGGCACTGCATTTTGGTACTTGCCCTGCAAGGCAGATGTAATTAAACCAAGGGGGCAGGTAGTTTCTCGTTTGTATCCCCATCCTAGAGAGCTCACCAAAAAATTCTTCAGAGTTTGACAAACAGGCCATTCCAGCACAAAATTATGCAAAATGCCTAAATGCTGCAGTGATTAGATATTACACACACATTTCAGTTCATCAAGGGTCTGTGGTTTCACTGGAAGGAGAGCCCCCTCCACATATGCAGACCACAACTCCTTCATGCCTATGTGGACAGTCTTTGAATTGCTGTGACCAATGCCCTGATAATAAGCCTTTCTGAACTTAGCTATGATGGTTCTCAGACAACAGACAAAGTCCATTGCCGGGCCTATAAATTGAAGCTTGTCAAACTTGGTAGAACCTGCCAGAGCTCATGCTCCACTGGCAGAGCCTTCAAGAACCCAGCGTCACCTCCACACCACGATGAGGCATCGGAGTAGCACTTTAGTGGAGGACTACATACACAGAAAGTGAAAATAAAGAGTTGAGAGACAAAAACAATGAAATTAGATTTTCTAACTGAAGATTGCACATTTGAGGCCCTTAACTTTTCTAAATGTAATATTTTATTAAAAACTCAAATTACTTTTTCATCGTCGTCCCTCTTCTACTTAATCTAATAAGTAACAAATGATAGACTAGATTTAAACAGCATCATGCAATTCCATTACAGTACTTTTCTTTACAAAGTGCTTTCCACCTCACTCTTTCCCCCAGTGACCATTTACAGGAACAGGGTCAAAATCTTTAAGAGATTTAGAGCAGGGCAGAAATTCTCAAACTGGAAGGGATCAGCTTAATACAATTTTGTATTAATTTTATACAATTTGTATAAAAGAACGGAGGCACAGACAGCCTAAATACCTTACCCAAAGTCATACAACAAAGTTAGTAAAGAGCAGGGCTGGGATTGGAGCCCAAGTCCCTGATTCTAAACTTAACTTCAATCCTCTCCACTACACTACACTAGATGTTGCTATGGATGGAAAACAAAATTTAGCCCAAAAGATTTGCTCAAAGTCTACTAACAATGGATCTGCTGCCCTACCGAGCCAAATAAAACTGAACTAGTAAATATTCAAGTCAAAAGTCATTTTATCATGTACCCGTAAGTTAAAATGTCACACTGGAATTTAAACAGAGTTTGAATTTATTACTTGGCAATGCCCACATAGAATTATTTTCTTCCAATCTATTTTGTTCATATACTACAAAATTATCCTCTAACAAGAGCTAAGAAAGGTACTTATTAATTCAAATTACATTGCACTGTAACTTACATTCCAGTCAACAGTCGAAAAGAAAAGATGTCTTTTGATTTCTTCAACTCCATCGGAACCAGCTCCTTTAAAAATGGAAATATTTTTTATTGGTATGACTTTCTTGTTCTTATTACTCCATTTCAAGGATCTATTCTGTAGGTAAATCTTAAATCTCTCATTTGTAGGCAGCTATGGTGTATATACTTTTATCTGGCAGTCTATCACTTAGAAATTCTACATTTCTGTGGTACAATGTTAATGGATATTCACAATCATTTTCCAGTGGCACTGCTGAAGATACTGAAGTACCTTTTAAATCAGTAAAAGGCTTAAATTATCTTTAGTGTAGATTTGGCATTAAATATATTTTATTTGTTCTAAGTGAATACTCACAGCCAATGTACAGAGTAAGGAAACTTTAAAAATCAACCTAAATTTTAAATATAATTTCATATATATATATGAACTCCTTACATGTAGAGATCATTATTCTTTGTGTTTTTATCACTAGTGCCTAGCACATAACAGGCGCTGAATAAATACTTGTTGATCTAATGGATATGGGAACAATGACTAGAATGCAGAAATGGAAAGGTAGACCTTGTTCAAAAGAAACATCAACAGAAGAGAAAAGAGAGCAGAATTGTAAGTTGAGAAGGTAGACACCTATATGGAAATAAACAAACTTAAGGGTAGAAATTAGTAGACAGTATTTGAGTGAAAGAAAGATAAAATAAATGATGCTTGTTTGTTATGGAGGTGACTACTACAGACTGCCTGGTTGGATGGAGGATATGGATAACATTTGTTAATATGAGTCCTGGCAGAGAGGCAAGGTATAGTGTAGACAGCTCTTGGAAATCTGATTCTACTAAAAAGAGAACTGAGACTTTTTTTTCACTTGTTTTGTTGTATTGACAATTTCACCATGCAAAAGGATTGAAAGTTAATGGCTATTCTGGATTTAACTCTAACCAACAAGGAAAAACTAGCTGGAAAGGTAGAAGTGGTAGGAATCTTAAGAAAAAATGATCATGCCATTTTAAGCTCATAATAAAAGAAGGGTACACACGGCATTATACCCTGGGTCTCTGAAAATCAGTAACATAAAAATTCAGAGAAGAGATGACTTCTGTCCAGATGAGCTATAAAAGAGAACAGCTACAGAGAAAGTGTTTCTGAGCACTTTAAAAGAAAAAAGTCATCAGTAGTTAGTATGAGCTAAGAATACTAGTCATACCAAACATAGCTAAGAATACATGTAATACTAGTTCATATTTCCTTTCTGAAAGATTGAAATTGGTAGATCAGGGAAATGACAAAGACTAGTATATGATGATTTCAGCAAGACATGAAAAACCTCAGTCTTCAGACAGGCTAGAGAAATGTGGATCATTTGATTATATGATTTTCTATCAGCTTGAAAAGGAGCACCCAAAAAAGGCTGTTTAATGGATTGATCCGAAGCTAAAAGGACTCTAAATGGACTGCTACAAGGGTCTATACTTTGACTTAAATTTCTCCAATTACCAATGACCTCTGAAATGTCAAATGTCTAAAGGCCTCTTCTAAATGGCTTCTTCTCTTCTAGACCTCTCTGAAGCACCTACCATTTTTTGACTATCCTCTCCTCCACGATACTCTTCTTTCTGGGTTTTTGAGACTGTTCTCTTTCATTTCTCATCCTATTAATTTTAACACTCCTTGGTCTCATCTGTTAATTCATAATCCATGCTATATGCACTGACTGTGAGTGTTCTATAAAACTATCCTGAGCCCTCTTCTGTTTTCTCTTGACAATCTTTCACTTGGTGTCTACATAAGTTCCCAAGGAGAGAATTACCATCTCTCTGCTGATGACTCCCAGAACTACATATCCAGACCCAGGCTCTTTCCTGAGCTGTAGTCCCATATCACCAACTGCCAAGTAGACCTACCATAATCCTGTAATTCAACCATACTGGCTGAAATTATTATAGTCAGTATCGATTTCATTTCTGTTTCTGATTTCCTATTTTTAATTTTCAAGGGCTTGACCAGGGCTCATCTGTTTCAGTTGTGCATTATATCCTTTGCTATTTTTTAAGTGACTTTGATCTTACTTTTGACAAGTCAATGGTCTGACTGACACATATCCTTGGCTCAGGGACAAGACACATATCTAGGCTCAGGGATAATGCCTAATCAATAACAAGTATTTTCCTTTCTGTAAAAACAAAATCAATTTCAATCTCTTATGGTGTTATTTGGTTCTCAACCTATCTAGCACCTACCAATTGTTCTCTTGAAGAATATAATCTATCAGTCTTTGTCTTTCCCTATTCCTTCTTCCTGAGTCATACTTCCTTTTTTATTTGCCCCCTTCTCACCTTTTTCCCCACCTTAGTATGGAAGTCCTTAAGTATTAGAGTGCATGCTGATTTATTCTGGAGTGTTTTTTTCAAGTCATTCATTGAATTTTTCTTCCATTTCATCCTTAGCAACCATCTTGGTACACAGGCTGTAATTATTTTCATGGTGACATTTTTGTAGATACTTTTCATTAGTATTATAATGCAGGATGACCAAACATCCTATGAAATGTTCGGGTTTCCTTTGGGCTTACAACAGAATTTTGTGTAAGACTTTACATTTATCTCTATTCAATTTAACCTTAAATTCAGTTGAATTTTTTGGCCTGTTGAGATTGTTTCAGACTAAGGCATTTAAAGAGTTAGCTGTCCCCCTAGGATTTATGCCATTTGCAAATTTGATAAGGACGCCATCAATTCCACTATCTTAGTCACTGATAAAAACGTTAACCAACACAGGGCCAAGGACAGATCCCTGGGGCATTCAACTGGAGACTTTTTTCCAACTAGATATCCATCTATTAATGACTACTCTTTGATTTCTTTCATTTAACCAATTAAAATTCACCTACTTACACTACCGACTAGCTCATATCTCCTAATATTGCCCACAAAAATTGAATCGGTCAACAGGCATGTGGTTAGCACTGTGCTAGGCATTAGATACACAAACACAAAGTGTATATGAGAGACTTAGCTGCTTTTCTAAAATCTAAAATCTTTTCTAAAAAGATCAATGGTATCTATAGCATTTTTCATACTTACCAGTCTAAGGATCTTGTCAAAAAAGTAAATGAAGCAAGTTTAGCTTTACCCACTCTTAATGAAGCCATGCCAGCTCTTTGTGATTACTATTGCCTTTTCTAGATGTTCATTAGCTCTTTGATAACATAGAGTTTTCCTGGGAATCAAAAGCAAGTTTATTGGACTGAAGTTTTCATACTCTTTCCTTTTTTGAAACTAGGGACCAACATTGGTCCTTCTCCAGTTCTATAGTCTGTCTTCTAGTATCCCTGGCAGTGGTTCAGAAATCAGAGGAGACATGTAAAAGAGAACTGAGAATTTTAGTTAGAGACAAGTTCAATAAGATCATCCCAGCTATCTGTAAACGAATGTCATCTTAGTTCCAGAGATCAAGAGAAACCATTTTACTCTAGGATGTGTTAGTTGGAACACATTTATAGCACTGTGTTTGGTTCAGGGCGTCCCACTTAAAGAATTACAATGTGTACAGAGGAGGACACTCAGTACGGAAACTGTTATATAAAGAATAACTGAAGGAACTAGAGCTGTTAAGCACAGAGAAGGAAAGGGGGTACATAACTGCTGTCTTCAAATGTCCCAAGAGTTGTCACGTGGAAGAGAGAATATAATTGTTGTATGCTACTCTGAGATCCAATGGGTAGAAATTACTGGGTGAAGGAAAAGTTCTTTTGACTGAACAGCTGTCCAACAGAGCTTTCTAACAATAGCATTTGCTGGCACTGAGAGTGTTTAAGGAATGGCTGGATCACCATTTGTCAAGGACATTACAGAGAAGATTCTTATATTGGGAAGAAAACGAACTTCTAGATGATTTATAAGGTCCCTTCCCTAGGAACCTATGACTTCTTTTAAAAACGGATGATTGATGTATATATGGTAATCTCTTACTAGCCAAGACATTTGATTAAGCCAGAATATCCATCTAGCATTTCAGAAATTTCAACAATTATTTTTTCAATAGTAAAATCTAGAATTCAAAGTGTTAGTGAATGCCATTAAATTCAAATAAATCAGAAAACTGAAAAATATCATTCACCTAGAAAAATATGCAGTACACTTTGCTACAAAAACCATGAAACATAAGAATACCTAATCTATTTGAAGGATTTCTTTTGAATAACATCCTTAGAAGACTTTGTGCTTCAGGGCTAAGAAACTGAGGCATTCCAAGTTTTGCTCTGGAAAATAAAATTTTAGGAAATGTAATTTAACAACAATCTGCACTTTAAAACTTACCATACAATAGAATTACTGAGTACTTTTCACACTGGCAGGTATTTTATTATAGTAATAGAAAGAAAACAGTTTATACTTAAAAATATTATTTTACTTCCATCTTAACTATCATAAATTTCTAAAAGCAAGGGCTTAGAGTTGTTTGGTGTGGGGTAGGATGGGGGAGGAATGGTATACAAAAGATAAACTGAAGAGTTACACTTACTTCAATATCATATTCATGGTCTCATTTCTGTCTTTACCTTGAAAAGGCAGAGTACCAGTGAGCATTTCAAACTAAAACAAAAAATACCAGAAGTCCATTAAGTATGATTTAGGATGTACAACACTTTTTTTTAAAGTATGATCATGGGCCAAACTAGGATCAAGAAAGTAGATTTGTCTGACTTTCTTGAAACCACATAATAACTGGTGTTTCTAGCTTCTTAATGTATAAGTCAACTGTGGCAAGTTAAACCAACTAAATATTCCAATTCTACCTTTGGAAGGTCCAAAGAAACCTGTAAATCCTCAGAGATACATTATTTTTCTTCCAAAACAAAACTGAATTACTTCAAAGAATTTAATGATTAAAGGAAAATGATTATCTAAATACAAAATTTATAGACATTCAAGATAGATTTAAGAGACCTTGTGCCCACCCCCATCCAAAGATACCAGATAGGGGAATATTTTATTCCTGTTTAGTAAAAAAAAAAAAAAAAACAAAAACAAAAACAAATGCATTGAGCAAAATTTAGAACCAACACAATAAAATATTAAGACAAAAGATGTAAGGTAATCACACATCATGGTATTAAGGAAATAAATTTTCTAAAATAATATTTAGAAAAAATGAAGATAAAGAGACAAAACGGAATAGACTCAACATTATCTAGCACCACAATTCATTAAAAAGGTTTTTCTTTTTTAATACATATGCAAATATTTTAAAATTTCAATTAGTCCTATTTAGCTCTCAACATAAGTCATTTTTAAAAATGGCTTTGGCCTCAATCCTATGTTTTCTCTCTCTAGATTTGGTGAACTCCTTCATTCTCATGGTTTCTAGTCTTCTATAAAGAGGATTCCTAATTCTAAATCTCAAACATGGCCACTTCTCTCACTTATGCTCCTCTTCTGTATTACTCAGAACAACACATCTTTGGTTACTACTGCCATAAATTCATTCCTAGATTATTCCAACAGCCTCCTAGATGGTTTCTCTGCCTCTACTCTTCTCATCAATTAATCCATTTTACATAATGCTGTAAGATTAACCTTTCTAAAAAGAAAGATTTTATTGCATATCTCACCTGCTTAAGAACCTTTGATAGCTCCTCTACCTATAATATCCAGGTCAAATTCTTCTGGCTTGGTTTTCAAAGCCCTCTAGAACTTGATCCTACCTTACCAACTCAACCTCATTTCCCACAGGCCCCAATACCCACTTTCTGAGCCAGTCTGATCTTCCTTCCTGCTCCTCACCCCCAAGCTGTGCTCACTCCCACTAATATCTTCCCTAATGCTATTCTTCCTCATAGTAATATTCTCCACCTCTCCAAATTCTATCCAGATTTCAAAAGGGTTCACTCAAGTTTCACCTCCTCTCAAAGTCTTCTCCTATTTCTCTAAGTCATACTGATCTTAGCCTTCTCTGAATCTTATTGCATTTATGATGAGCACTAACCAGTTTTGCATTTCATTGTTCTCAGTGTTTCATGTGTGTATGTGTTTACATGCATATATGTATACATATATATGTATGTCTTTCCAAGTATACTATGGGTAAAGGGAGGTCGGTAATAATGTCATACATGCCTATCAGTACTAGGTGTACAGTAGGTGCTTAAAATTAAATTAAAAAATTAAAATTGGGAGCAGCTAGGTGGCGCAGTGGATAGAGCACTGGCCCTGGAGTCAGGAGGACCTGAGTTCAAATTCGGCCTCAGACACATAACACTTGCTAGCTGTGTGATCCTGGGCAAGTCACTTAACCCCATTGCCTAACCCCCCCAAAAAATTAAAATTAAAATATTTCTAATAGCACAGAAATGATGATGTGCTGTTAAATGAATAATTAGAAGTTTAATGGCAAAATACCTCTGATGTAAAGTGTTTTCATTAAAAAAACTTTACTGTCACATATTTTATACTGAATTATATATCAAATCAATCAGTATGTATTTATTACACTACTTGTGACTATGGGGGATACTAAGTGAAAGGAAGGCAATCTCTGTCCTAAAGGAAATTATAAACATGCTGGGGAGGTAAGACATTCACAGGTCACAGAAATATTCGTGTGTGTGTGTGTGTGTGTGTGTGTGTGTGTGTGTATACACTAAATATATGTCTGCTAAAACCTGTGGTAGCAATTAGAAGTACAACAATATACTATACAATCATTAAATACTTTAGTTTCTTGTAATATAGAATCTGACAGATCCTTTCTAGAGCAGGACCTTAAAGTCTACATAATAACTGCCAGTATTTACAACTTTATCTAGCAAGATAAAGACAAGGTTAGAACAAAAAGGAATGTAATTTTCTTTTTGGCAAAACTTAACACTGTACCAGTTGTGCTTTTTGATAACTCTAAATTGTCAAAACTTTCCTTCATTCCCACTCTCCACAAGGTAACAAAGTATTTAAATAGAAAATGTGAAAAAAAAACAGTTTTTCATTTTCTATGATCTTGACTCAGAAACGTAATGCCACAAAATAAATGTTTTTTGAGGGACTGAACACAGAACTTACCATTAACACGCCAAACGACCACCAATCAGCACTCTGGGTATGGCCTCGCCTGTTCACTACTTCAGGAGCCATGTATTCTACTGTACCACAAAATGAGTAGGCCTTCTTTTCTTGGTCTACAGATTCTTTGCTGAGTCCAAAATCTAAAATAATAGTGTTATAAAAAATACACTTGAAGACCTCTAGAATGTAGAAATCTCCTGTATATGGACAACATGGTATGGAGTTAAAGCTGTGTATGGTCATACACAGAACTGCTCTTAAAAGCAAGGTACTGTGAGGGCATTACAGGAAAAGTCTAGATTTAGTTACACTAACATTATGAAATTCAATCTTATCAATTTATACATAAACTACATACCTTTAAAACAGTTTTGAAAAGTATACATTTAAACCCCAAAGTGCTCAAAATATATGCTTCTTAGTTTTCCACTCACAACTATAACTTTTTAAAAAATAAGAACACCACAAACTACATATTTGGAAGCCTATCATATTGATCTAAGTTTTGCTACCTCCGACCAAAATGGAGGTAGCCATTTCAATGTTTCCTTTGGGGGTGGGGGAGGGTGGCATTGAGAGGGAGGAAGGGAATAAGCAAAATTTGCTTTAGCATGCTTCACTCTAGAGAAGGACTTGATATCTTAGAATATTTTATAAGGATTTACCGACTTCACTTTCATTAAATAATTATTAATTATATCCTCAATATCATTTGTGTATTCATCTTTATAGTGAACTACTTATGTTTTGTTGTTCTAAGAAGCTTTAATTATCATACTACCTATTTACAAACTGTAAACATAGCTTTAATTTTCCCATTACCTTCATTTGGTCTAAAAATATACCTCCAAAGTCTTGTAAAGAACATTGGCTATTATTTTTTTCTTAAGGGAGGGGAAGGGGCAGAGCAAGAGGGAAAGAGGTGTGGAAGTAAAGAGAAAAGAATGCTGTTACTTCCTTTACAAACTTTCTGAAGGTTTGTCCTAAAAGCCTCACTCTTATATTCTCATGCCGGAGAAGGTCTTCTGCTCATACTACCTAATCCTGATAAAATCGATGTTTTTGACACTAATTTTTTTAAGCAATAAATTAAAAAAAAATAAACACAAAAACAACAAAGACAATATCAAGAGTTAGCTATAGGAGCAAATGAATTATTAAGTATATGTCTTTTCTAAATTGCTCATGGTAGAGGAAAATATTTTCTATGATAAAAAGTTCTATAAATGAACCATCATTTTTTCCTGTACTATTTCTTTAAAACTATAGTTGACTATGACATTTTCACTAGTTCCTTTTAAAATGCTTTTCTTTTCATATACATATTCGGGATATAATTAATTTTATGCTTTTTAATGAAAATCATGATTTAACACTGGTTAATCTGCCAAGAACCTTAGAGAAAGGTTTAAAGATACAACTATTTTCTTATGTGTATGTATTTTTACCCTAAATCCTTAAAGAAAATCTGGGACTCCAGGAGACACAGGTAAAAAAGGAGAGTGTTCCAGGCACCAGGAACATATACAGAGACAGGAGACAGAGCATCATGTGTGAGGATGACTATCGAGGCTGGTTTGGTTGGACCTCATAGGGGAAAGTATGGGCAGTAAGGCTGGAAATGTAGGAGGGACCAGATCATGAAGAACTGGAAGAGCCAAACAGAGGAGTTTCCATTTGATCCTGGAGGTAACAAGGAGCCATTAGAGTTAACTGAATGTGTCTGAGGGGTGGTGGTGGTAGTGATGATGTGGTTAATAAAATCCCTCTGGCAGTTGATGGATGGGTTGGAAAAGGTAGAAACTTCATTCAGGTAGGGAGATCAATTAATATATCATAAGACTATAGGAAGATGCTACTTGGCACCATTTATTTACTCAAATAACCCTAAGGCAGTATAGAGAAACTTTAATGAAACCTGTCCCCTATCCTCCAACCCAAAAGGAAAAGCATTAACTTTGCACAGTGTTAAGTTACTTTCAAATACAGATTGTATCCTATACCTATAACACTACACAGCCTCACCTTGTACTGTTTCCTTTTTATCCTCCCTCAGATCATGCCATTCCCTATATGCTCTCTCTAGAGACACTCACCAAAAAGAGACTGAGGTTATGAATCAAAAGGTCTCACTAAAGTGACTTTGAACCTCAGTATGGATGGTATTAGCCCAGACTGCTATCTCAGAGTAGTGTATTATAATACTGGTGATTCTGTGGAAACTTACCTTTAAACTGCATAGATTTCAAAAATTTCTGCAAAGACCATCAAAGACTTAATTTTTTAAAAAAATAATTTTGATAAGTAAAATTATGTATATCTTACTCAAAACATGATTTAGGGTCCAATAGATTTTAAAACACTAGCAATCCTTCCCAGGTGACGAATTATACAGATATGTCTCAATAGGACAGTATCTACTCTGTACATTTCATCCTTCCCCCTAACCCTACCAATACCTACTACAGTTAGGACAAATAGAGAGTTAGCTTACCTAACATTTAAATGAGTTAATTAAACAGGTAACATATAAATCAAAATCAAGAAATAGGGAAAGGGAAATAAACCTAGATAAATTAGTTATTGAAATAAGTAAAATATATAGCATAGGAAGATTAACTGTACTGAGAATTTACGCACCTGTTAACTTGATATGTCCTGCTTCATCAAGCAAAATGCTGAAAATTAAAAGTCACATTCACCAATGTATATAATAGTAAAATATGTATGCATAAAACTTTTATTAAAATTATCACAAACTTAAGAAAAGTCAATCTCCAATAGTCAAGTTGATAAATTGGCAATGTACAAAAGTGACTAGCACAATTAGAATCAATGGATTACTGAAGAAATAAAATTTCCACTTTATATTTTTTTACTGTTTTTCATAAAATTAAGTAAAATACATAATAGAGAATGCAGAAGGACGCTGAATTTGAACTTTTAGAGAACAGTGACTTTTCCCAGGGCCCACAGGTTACTTTACTTTTCTGGCTTCAGGTCCCGGTACACAATCCCCAGGCTGTGCAGATGATCCAAAGCAAGGGCAAGTTCTGCGAGGTAGAATTTCACATCTTCCTCTGTAAACATAACCTAATAAGAACTGGAGAGATTTACCTTCTGATCTCTGCTTTGGTGGCTAAAATCACATTTTAAAAGTTTATTCTTCAAAATCAAACAGCTGTAACATTAGGGAAGGAGTTAGCTCAGAGAGAAATTTTCTGGAAAACTGAAGTCCACTCCTTTACACAACTAAATCTTATTTTCTATGAGCTTGTTTTAAGAAAATGTTTAAAAACCGGCTCTGCATTTTCTGAACTGAACCTTCTCTCCCTGTCTTAGCTGGTATCACGAAGCTGAATGACTATAAGATGACATAATCATGAGGTGCCCTCAGGAGTTGTTAAGACTAGGGGCTTTGCTGCACAGCTGATGTTGCTGTGCTGTCTTTCTCTTTGAATTTTAATAATCTGTAGAGAAAACCATTGTTTTTACTGGGCTTACAATTTCACTGGAGCTGAGAACTCCTCCTGAAGAAACTCCTACCAATGCAGATGAGTAACTGCTCTGCAACTTACAAAGTTGCCTGTGGAAGCTCAAGTGAACTGACTTGCCCAGGGTCATCTGTACCACATTACCTCTCTGTGAAAACCTAAGTACATTATTGTCACTTACTTCTTGGTTATTCAGGTAATGCTGCTTGAATATATTAAGAGTATTTAAATGACTTATTTCTTTTGAGTGGCAGTCTCAAGAATACAAAAGTTTGTTAAAGATCAGTAGATCATGAACTTCAGAGTCCCTGTCACCTACCGTGCCCTTGCACACCAAGTTGGCCTAGGCTCCTTGGCACTGCCGTCAATAAAGCATGATTTGGAGCTTAAAGAAGCTGCCTATTTTCACGTGCTTATTACCTTACTTAGAGAATACTTTAATCTCTCAGAAACTAGTCACAAAGGTGCTATGACCACAGCTCTGCTCCTGTACTCTAAGATCTGTCTCTACTACTCTGTGTTCACCAATACCACTTGCCACCTCTCTTTGTGGTAGACTTTCTTGACTAAGGAGAGATCAGGTTTGTTCATGGGTTTTTTTTGTTTTGTTTTGTTTTTTGGGGGGAATGAGGGTGCCAGTGGCTGCTTTATTTAAAAAAATGACAGACCAAGAAATACATATCATAATATTATATAACAATATCATCTATAAGACAACAGTCACCAAGAATATTATGAAACTTACCTTTTCTACAAGATAGAAACAATTAGCCATCTTTACTGCCTTTAAAAAAATTATGCTTTTTATACAAAAGTGTGGCATTGCTATAAAAGAACTAACCACAAACAGATTCTGTTTATACCATAGAGCTAAGATCCCTATAATTTAGAAACTAAACAAACCCAGAGGCTACAGATCCCATTTTCCTCCTGCCAAATAGATGAATGGCTTGGTTACTGATTTTTATGAGAACAGTATTAAAAGTGCTAGCTATTAATTATCTAATACTCTAAGGTGAGCATTATTCAAATTTTACTGACTTTATCATGTTAGATCCTATAAGAAGCAGAGATTTAGATACTTTATACTTTGGAGAATCTATACCTAGAGAGTTTAGAACAGGGCTTCTTTACCTTTTGTGTGTGTTGCTTATCCACCCTGGGCAATCAGGCTGATGAAGGCTAGGGACCCTTTCTCAGAGTCATATGTTTAAATGCATAAAACAAAATACAGAGCCTCACAAAGAAAACCATCATACAAGATGCCCCCAAAGTCTTACTGCAGTTTCAGGCTTTAACGCTTAAAACCACAGTAAGATTTTTGGAACATTCTAATGAAATAACACTTACCAAACTATTTTAAAAATCAATACATGGACCCCAAATTAAGAACCTCTGGTTTAGAAGAAAACTGAGAAGGACTACCAGAAAGAATTTCTTAAAGACCACATTCTACCAAGGTCTTTTTGGTAGGTAAGTAAAGAAGTGCCAAATACTACTACTAATTATTGTTTATTTTAATAGCTAATATTTACATAGTACAATATGGTTTATAAATATGGGATCCTTGACAGAATTTGCTATACAATGGATTTGACTGAATATGCTAAGAGTCCACTGAATTTTCCTGAGGTAGGAAGGTATACAGGTGAGACCCTGGCCAGCTAAAGAATGCCCTTAATCCTCGCTCTCTATTTGCTTCCTCTTGTCTCAGAAGTTCCTAAATCAAAAGAAACAACAATGGTGCATCCACATTCACCTACTCAGAAATGTGGAGGCAAGACCTGAGACTACTCCTACTTGTTCATAAATGTTAATTCCAAGGGCCCTTGAGTAGCTTGCACATCCGTAGTCCTAACCTCATCCCAACCGACTTTGTTCAGATATTTACGTTGCTTGACAGCCTAGAACTGAAATACATCTCACATAAATCATAAAAATGTTCTCTAAGAAAGTCAGATGCAAGGCACCATTAACACACATGTGCCATAAGTAAAATACACTGAGACTTGCAAAATCATTTAGACTAAAATTTCCTAGAATAAGAATGTTGTTCGCAGGAGAACTAGATGTCTTTCCATTTTCAACTTAAAGGACCTACAGCATAAAGTCATAAGTAGATGCTTACCTCTTTGGATAATCTTGTAAAAACATCTCCTCCCCTGAGAAAATCCAATATTAAATACAGCTTCCCTTCAGTCTGAAAGGCTAATCAAAAATTAGAAACTTAGTAAAGATGAAAATCTTAAAAGATTAAATATCTTACTACTGTTTACAAATTTGTTTATAAGAGAAAGTACTCATGTTCAATGACATGGTCCACATTAAAGGAATACCATCAGCTAACATTTCAAACATGGAGTTAGGTCCAACTTTGACAAGAACTACCTTCCTTTTCTCAGAAAGTGAGGCGTTCATGAATAGGACTCTCTTCCTTTATAAAGATGCATGCTTTACTGCCCAACCTCAGCCCTGAGACTAAGAGGCAGGGAGCTTGGAAACACTAACTCCGCTTGTACACACATTTCCACCAGGGAATCATACAGTGAGAGATCAAGAATTTAGTGACTCTTCTTAAGGCTGACTTCATATCATTTGACTAAATTTGTAAATGAATGTTAACACAAATATATAATTTCTCAAAGGAACACTGAAGAGAATAAAATCAGGTTGGAGATGAAGTGGAAGGGGATGGGGTTATGTCAAGGTATTAACATTACTCACATCTTTCATTATAAATTCAACTTAACAACTCATTAAGCACTGCTTATGTCCGTCACTGGGCTATCACTGACTTGATGTACTACTGACATATAAAACTGGAACAACCTTTTTAAGTACCATGGCATCTGAAGCAAGAATAAATATTTTTAGGCTGCTTTGAGACTAATGGAGAAATCTTGCCAGGCTCTCCGTTTCTATTTTGCTCTCATCACACATTCCCCTGTATTATATTTAGCTGTGTACATGGCAAATAGAATGCAAGCTCCTTGAGGGCAGGGACAGCCATTTTTCAGCTTTGTGTTTCAAGCACCCAGTACAATGCCTTGCACGTAGTCAGCACTTAACATATTTGTACTCTATTTTAGAATTCCTGTCTACTAAAGCAGTAATTCATCTCACAAAATGGCAATGCTATAAACATAATATTTTTCTTTATTCTCAAGAAAATGGTGACACACTATCTAATCATAGTTGGCAATTAGAGTATTTCAATGAGTTAGAATTATATTCGACCTTCACTAATTAGAGGAGATGAGAAGAACAGTGCAGATCAGAAAAGGGTGAAAAATAGGCAATACCTACCGTAGTGCAATTTGACAATAAATGGATGATTTACTTCTACTAATATATCCCTCTCCATCTTTGTACGAACTCTATCTCGAACTGAAAAGAAAAGATAGTAACAGTATTACTTGACATGAGTTTAACAAAAAAAGACATCAAATACTAATAAATTTTAAAAGAAAATAATTTCCTTTGCTTAAACATTCAGGATACATTTGTACAGAGAAGCAGGGTGGCCTCATATATAGAGTTGGCCTCAAAGATAGGACAACGTGGGTTCAATTTCTATCTCCTACACATGTTGACTTTGTGACCTTGGGCAAGTCAGTGAACTCTGAAGTGCCCTCGCAACTCTCTAGGTGTACGAGATGCAGTGAACGTGCTGACCTGCCAATACTGGAAGAGGGAATCCTCTCGCAAAGGAGTTCCCTGTACAGATGAAGCCACGGGGCCAGTTCTCATCCCTATAAATTTTTCTCATCTACATACAGCTGAAATCTACACTTACCAATGTACAGTTCAATTAAAGTCGAAAAAAACACACACAGCTATTTATTTACAAGAGTCCACACTTGAACCCCAGTTGTCTATCTACTCATCCAATGCTCCCTCACACTGCATTGCTCCTCAAATTCCAAATAATAAAATGGTAAGGACATGATATTTTGCCGGCTGAAAATTCCCAACAAGAGAAACATACACACTAAAGGAACGCTTCAGATAAATATTGGCAAATATGCATTTTATATGATTTGCTGGGAAAGCATGATACAGTTGTTAAAAGATACAACTATATGCAATATAAGCACTAGAAAACAAGTTTGAAAAGGATCTTTTTCAAGTCATACTTTGATAAATGTTCTACCTTTTAAAGATGCTTTTTTCAATACTTTCATTGCATAAAGCTGCCCAGCATCCGGACCAATGATCTTTCTTACGAGAAAAACCTGGGGGGAGGGAAGGGAGAGGAGAAAAAGAACATTTTATTCAAGTTAATATTACTATAAACACACACACATTTACAGATTTCCAATTTTAAAGATATGTGCTCCTCTCCTAAGTTACATTAAGTTCTTCAGCTACATAAATATTTCATATTCTTCATTAATTCCCCAAGGAGTTACTAAACCTTGCCAACATGCAGAGTACTGTGGCAGTCAGTCAGCAAGCATTTATTAAGGGCCGACTATGTGCCAAGCACTGTCCTTTACTGTGCTAGCAGCTGAAAATCCAAAGAAAGGCAAAAGACAGACTAGGCCCTGCTGTCAAGGAACTCACAGTCTAACAGGGGAGACAATATGCAAACATCCATGTACAAACAAGCTCTAGGCAGGATAAAGTGGCAATAATCAGCAGAGGGAAGGCACTCACATTAAAGGGGGATCAGGAAAGCTGGGATTGCAGAAGGGAGAATTTGAGCTGGGACTTGAAGGAAGCCAGGGAAGACAGGAGGGAGAGATGAGGAGGGAAGGCCTTCCAGGCATCAGGGACAACCTCTGAAAAGGCCTGGAAAATGGATGGAATGTCTTGTGCAAAGAACAGCCAGGAGGCCAGTGTCACTGGATCACAGAACACCTAGAGGGACGAAGGCATAAGAAGACTGGAAAGGCAGGAGGGGGCCAGGTTGTGAAGAGCTTAGGATGCCAAACAGAGGATTTGGTATTTGTTCCTGGAGGTAAGAGAAAACTGATGGCACTTATTCCACTGGTGAGGATTGGATGAGGGATGAAAGAGAGAGAGGGGGGAGTCAAGGGTGACACCTCTGAGCCTCAGGTTTGCTCACCTTTAAAAAGAGGAGGAAGGGGCAGCTAGGTGGCGTAGTGGATGGAGTACTGGTCCTGGAGTCAGGAGGACCTGAGTTCAAATCCGGCCTCAGACACATAACACTCACTAGCTGTGTGACCCTGGGCAAGTCACTTAACCCTGATTGCCTCAGGGAAAAAGAAAAAAAAAAGAGGAGGAGGCTAAATCCAGAAGAGCCCACCTCAAAGGGTTGTTAGGAGACTCAAATGCTCACATAAAGGAGGGAAACCTTAAAGCATGCTGTTACTTCTTATTTTCTTATTATTACATGTGAAGTGTAACTATTAATAGAGCTCATTGATGGACTAACAGAATTATTTGTTTGTTATTCTTAAGGCCTGGCATTATTAATTCAGGTCTTACATATGGGCTTATGTGAGCAAGACGATTCACCGCAAAGAACACTGGCTTTGGAGTTCAGATGACAACCACAGACCAGGCACTTGATAAATCGACAAATGTTATCTATGTGATCTTGGACAAATCACTGAACCTCCCTGGGCCTCAGCTTCCACAGTTGTAAAATGAGGGAATTGGGAAAAAAAATGTCCTTTGAGATCCCTTCCAACCTTATATCTATGATCCTATGAATATTATTATCCTGTTCCCCAAGATCAGCTACAAGTGGAAGAAGAAACTGTATGGTTTCAAGTTCTCATCCTTAAAGATGAGTCCTACGTTTCATATAAGCTCTTGCATTTGTCCATTAGGAACCCAGTTTAGCAACCAAGATTAGAAGGAAAGCAGAAAATTGGGAAAAAACTTTTACAACACATTTTCTGATAAAGACCTCGTTTCTCAAGTATACAGAGAACTGAGTCAAATTTATAAGAATACAAGTCATTTCCCAATTGATAAATGCTCAAAAGATATAGAAGAAATCAAAGCTATTTATAGTCACATAAAAATGTTCTAAATCACTACTGATTAGACAAATGCAAATTAAAACAACTCTGAGGTACTACCCTGCACCTATCAGATTGGCTAATATGACAGAAAAGGAAAATGACAAAAAATGAAGGGGATGCAGAAAAATTGGGACATTAATATACTGTTGGTGTAGTTGTGAACTAATACAACCATCTTGGAAAACAATGTGGAACTTTGTCCAAAGGACTATGAGACTGTACATACCTTTTGATCCAGCAATACCACTACTAGGTCTATATCCCAAAGAAATAAAAGAAAAATGAAAAGGTCCCACATATACAAAAATATTTATAGCAGCTCTTTTTGTGGTGGCAAAGGATTGGAAATTGAGGGGATGCCCATCAACTGGGGAATGGCTGAGCAAGTTGTGGTATATGATTGTGATAGAATACTATTGTGCCATTAAGAAATGATGAGGTGGTGGTTTCAGAAAAACCTGGAAAGACTTACATGAACTGATGCAAAGTGAAGTGAGCAGAACCAGGAGAACACTGTACACAGTAACAGCAACACTTGTACGATGATCAACTGTGAATGACTTGGTTATTCTGAGCGACACAATGATCCAAGACAATTCCAAAGGACTCATGATAAAAAAATACTATCCACCTCCACAGAAAGAACTGATGGAGTCTGAACGTAGATCGAAGCATACTTTTTAAAAATTTCTTTATTTTTCTTGGGTTTTTGGGTCTGTTTTTTTTTTCATAACATGGGTAATATGGAAACATGTTTTGCATGACTGAACATGTGGAACCTATATACAATTGCTTGCCTTCTCAAGGAGAGAGGAGGGGAGAGAGGGAGAAAATTTGGAAATCAAAATTTTTAAAAATTAATGTTAAAAATTATTGTTACAAGGAATTAGAAAAATATACCAAAATTTTCACTAAAAAAGGAATACAGTTTAAATAGAATGAAAGACATTGGCTATGATTTAAAGAGAATTAGTGTTTTGGGTAAATACAGGATATAATGTTTGAAAAATAACCAAGGCAGAAAGATTAAAGGGCATTTTTAACAATGGGTATAGGTGACTTGGGTTGTTGGATTACAACCCATACCAAGCCAATAAGTCCTATCAACAATATTAAAGTTGTATTTAGTACAGTCCACTAAAGGCAAATCCAACACTCAAGGGAAGAATCAAAGCCTCTATTACTCACTTCTGTTGCTTTTGATTAAAGCAGCTGGAGAAAGGGCTAAAACCTCAAGCCTTTGTTATATGCCCTAAAATCCCATTTGTAACATTTTCACAATGGAGCATTTGAAGCAAAACCTAAATCAAGACTCAGCAACCCAAAGTTTCTTGGAATCGCTCCTACACTGATCTGATTCACAGCTTTGGCCAGATTTCTGCTTAGGTTCAGCATATAACAAGTCACACCTACACAATGCCTACACAAATGAGGAAATACTGATAACCAAGCATATTCTCATACTGACATATACACATGACATATCCAGGAGGCAAAAATGAAAGCACCTCCATAACAGTCCAACTTCCAAGACAGCAACAGAAATGAAGCAGGCATCAGATGGACCTAACAAGTATTCCTAGGGCCTATCCTGTTAAATCTGCTCTCTTTTGTATGTGTAGACTTTCTTCCTCCCTCACATACAGTAATGCCTCTAAGACAGCTAGAAAACCCATTCTTGCCTGAAGAAGATTCCAAATCTTGAAAGGTAGCAATTCACAAGTTCAGTTCTATATAATGGAATGCTAAATTAAATTTCCTTTTTTAAAAAATTAAAATAGGATTCTCCATGTGTCATGAAAGAAGTACTGGTCTACTATTGATACAAAAACCTTCAAATACTTAAAAACATAAGCATAAAATCTTCAGTTGTTCCTATGAAACTCGCAACTTCCAAGTAAGACTCTTGAGGGTAGAAGTGGTGGCAATGTTTTTAATATAATCACCTTGTGGGGAAGGAAGGGAGAGGTGAGGATACAAAGGGCCAACTGCAGGACACATTTAAATAATGTTTTTCATAACAATCATTTGTGAACCAAAGTGCTTATACAGCATAAGGTTTTAATCTTTTTGAAAGTTCATTTTAAAATCCTCCAGTTAAAAGCTTTATATTTACAAAAGTAGCATATCTATGCCTATAATTCAGGCTAAGAAGTGTACTCTATACATCACTTCTGCTGAAACACACAGAACCAGATATCCTTTTCGCCTAGAATACTGATAAACTGTATTAGAACCATGATTCCATGTTTTGGTCTTGAAACAAAATTTTAAAAGGCTTCCCTGAGAAGTCCCGTCTCAATGTGGTTTCCAACTTTCTCATTTAAATGAAATGATGCTCTCCAAAGGTACTAACGATCTTACTTGCCACATCTACCTCTGACATTTTCTCAATCTTCATTCCTCTTGACCTCTCTGTAGCCTTTGACAGACAGTGTTGCTCACCCTCTGTCTCTAGATTTCTCTATTACTGACCTCTCCTCTGTCTTCTTTGCTGGATCTTCATCCACATCATGTCCACTAACTGTGGGAGTTTCCCAAGGTCCTGCCCTGGGCCCTCATCTCTTCTCCCTCTAGCTATTTTACTTTACTATATGATTTTCAATTATAATCTCTCAGCAGATGTCTCAGATCTATTCATCTAGCCCTAACCACTCTCCTTACCTCTCGTTTTGAATCCCAAACTGCCTATTAGCCATATTTAAATGGATGTCCAGTAGACATCTTAGATTTGACTTGCACAATACTGGACTCATTTTCTTTCCTCTCAAACCTTCTCCTCTTCCCAAACTTCCCTATTACTTTCCAGGGTATCACCATCCTCCCAGTCACCTAGATTCATAAGCTAGGTATCATCCTTGACTCCCCATTCTCTCTCACCTCCCATATCTAATCTATTGAAAAGTCCTGTTAATTTTATCTTTGAACATCTTTCATATATGCCCCCCTTTCTCCTCTGACACTGCCACCACCTTGGTGCAGACCATATCACCTCAGGCCTGGACTAATGCAATAGCCTGCTGGTTAGTCTCCCTGCTTCAAGTCACTCCCCACTCCAGTTCATCCTACACTCAACTTTCAAACTGATCTTCCTAAAGTGTAGGGCTGACCATATCACTCCGTTTAACAAATTCAAGTGGCTCTCTACTGTCTCAAGGATCAAATATAAAATTCTCCTGGCTTCCTTGGCTTCAAACTCCAGATAAAATCCCACCTTCTCCAAAAAGCCTTAATAC